GTTTTTGTTCTTCAGAGAAGAGGAAGAGCTGGTCGTGTTCAACCTGGCGAGTGTTACCACCTCTATCCCAAATGTGTTTATGATTCTTTGTCTGATTATCAACTTCCAGAGCTTCTAAGGACACCATTACAGTCTTTATGTTTGCAAATCAAAAGTCTAGAGCTTGGAGGTATTACTGAGTTCCTTTCTAGGGCATTGCAGCCTCCAGAACTTCTGTCGGTAATTTCCATTTACTTCTAATTCTTGGCATTATCTATATGATATTGTACGTATTGGTTTATGCATTTTGTTTCTTTATAGGTACAAAATGCTGTTGAATATCTGAAGATTATTGGAGCTTTAGATGAGAATGAGAACTTAACAGTGCTAGGTATTGGAATTAGTTATTCTAAAGGGCCATTGGTTTTTGAACATGGACATAAGTTTCTTTGATAAAGAAAGAACCATGAATCGTTTTGTGACCTTGCAGGGCGCAACTTGTCAATGCTTCCGGTTGAGCCTAAACTTGGGAAAATGCTGATCTTGGGAGCTATTTTCAACTGTTTAGATCCAATAATGACTGTTGTTGCTGGTCTCAGCGTCAGAGATCCATTCCTGATGCCATTTGATAAGAAGGATGTAAGTTTTGACATTTGTTTCTAAAGGTGGTCTCAGCTATTTTAATTGATTTTTAATAATGGAATAAGGTTAAAGGTTTGAATATTCATATTCCCCAATAACTTGAAAAAGTGTGAAGCTCCTTATTCTTATGTTCTTTTCTTTCTCACTTTTGCAGCTTGCTGAACAGCAAAAGCCCAATTCTCCGGCCAGAAGTACAGTGATCATATTGCACTTAGTCTAGCCTATGAGGGTTGGAAAGAAGCTGAAAAGGAGCAGTCTGGTTATGAGTATTGTTGGAAGAATTTTCTTTCTGCACAAACTCTTAAGGCTATTCACTCTCTACGAAAGCAATTCTTCTATTTGCTCAAGGATGCTGGTCTAGTTGATCAAAATATAGAAATCTGCAATAAGTGGAGCAATGATGAGCATCTTGTCAGGGCAGTCATTTGTGCTGGCTTGTTTCCAGGATTTGCTCTGTTGTGGTGAGTTGTGCACCATTTTCCTTGAATATTCGTTCTCATCTATTTTGATGTTTTAACGGGGAAGGAGAATAAAAGTATAACTATTTATCAAAAACTTATTTGTCTGGCCACTGTCTTGAAGTTTATCCATCTTTTAGGACTATTAATAGTTTTGTTGTTATTATTATTATCATTATGGAATATGCACTTATGCAATTGCATTCCGCAGAACAAAGAGAAGTCAATTGCACTGAAAACAATGGAGGATGGTCAAGTTCTTTTACATGGGGTAATTTGCATTCTACATCTTTAGTCTTCTTTTTCCTTTTATAATTCATTGTTCCATGTAACAAGTTTGAGTGGAAAATACCAGTTTCATCCTAGTGCTAAGTTTCAATATTCTTATTTTATTAATTGATTGTTAACTTGGTTGTCTGCGCATGATGTAGAATTCAGTGAATGCTGAAGTTCCCAAAATTCCATACCCTTGGCTGGTTTTCAATGAAAAGGTAAAAGTGAATGCAGTGTTCCTCCGTGATTCAACTGGTGTTTCTGATTCCATAATGCTCTTATTTGGAGGGAACATTTCTAGAGGTGGACTAGTAAGTTCCTCAACTGAATTGTTATATTTTCTTGCTTCTTTTCTTCTCAGTAGAAGATGATTGCCTCACTTAATTCGGTCTTATTGGCATATATTTTACGTTGAATCTTTTCCTGGGTGTTGATAGGATGGACATCTAAAAATGTTGGGAGGATATTTGGAGTTCTTCATGAAACCTGCTTTAGCTGATACATATTTAAGCCTGAAAAGAGAGCTAGAGGAACTCGTTCAGATGAAAGTAAGTATTAGCTTTGTCTTATAGGTCCAATATTTTTTTATAATATTTCCAGAGCTACTTTGATTTTCGGTTCTGTTTTCACCTGAAACTGGATTTCTTACATCAAAAATCCTAGTTTCGCATCATTGTTTAATGTTTATGCATCTTTTCAATTCACTGACAAAATTTAGCATCCTTGTGTATTCATAATTTGTGGGTGGCATGTTGGCAGCTTTTGAACCCTACATTAGACATGCATTCAAGCAACGAGCTCCTCTCTGCTGTAAGATTGCTGGTCTCAGAAGACCAATGCGAAGGTAGATTTGTCTTTGGCCGTCAGTTGCCGGCATCCTCAAAGAAGATGGCTACGGTAAAGACACCAGGTAAAGGCGAGACTGATAATTCAAAGAATCATCTGCAAACAGTGCTTGCGAGGGCTGGACATGGACCACCTGTTTACAAGACAAAACAGCTAAAGAACAACCAGTTCCGATCCACAGTGATCTTTAATGGGCTGGATTTTATGGGGCAGCCTTGCAGCAACAAGAAGCTTGCTGAAAAGGATGCAGCTGCTCAGGCTCTGCTGTGGTTGAGGGGTGAAGACCATTCATCTTCCAGAGATCGACCATGCATCATTGCTTCTGAAAAAGAGCAAAAGCAAGAGGAGAACTTCAGTCGGTGATGATGCTAAGTGGAGTACTAAGGTATTTAGGTGATAATGTGTCTTCATTGTCACTTAGCAACGACGCAGAAATTTGACAGTCCTGGTGAACCGCAATGTCGGAGTTAAGTCTTTCACTTCAGTTTCTGCCTCTTAAAGGGTATTACCTTTCACCCCATTAGAAAAACAAGGGCCTAGATGCCGGCAAGTCATAGGTTCAAAAAAAGCTGGAGATTTCATTTCTGTTGAATTTGGAAAGGGTATTACCTATGACGGCTCTCATTTACCCAAATTTATTGCTGGACAAGGTGAGCGCTATTACTTCATATATCTTGTTGCTACTATTTCAGCCATGAGTTACAATTTTTTTGTGGGAACTAGGAGTTGACAATAGTTATAGATTTATCCGACTTTCGCATGGTTATCATGCGAAAGCCTTTACATGTCACTGCTTGTAATAAACCTACACCGACTAGGTATAATATGTATAATAGTTGTTATATACTCAAGTAAAGAACATACGCTTTACGCTTTGAGTTCATTAGATCTTGTAGATATATCCTCTTTTCTTATATACCAAAATCACTATGAACATAGTGCATGTAGAGGAAAGATTGTATGAAACATCATGTCGCTTTCATTCAAATTATGCAATGCAAATATATTATAATAGTCACCGAGGTAAGAGCTACAGGGGGTGGATGAATTCTTTGATAGCAATAACCACCATTGTTTTTAGGGATTAAATTAAATGGTCCTTCCTGGATATGTTTAATCGAGGTAAATCAAATAACCATCTTGGTTACGTTGTTCAGCATGGCCACCGACTAGTTGGACAAAACATTCTAGTGGATTCGGATCTGTCATAAAAAGAACTTTCTACCACAACACAAGTAGGTTCAACAGTATCATCACTCTTCTAGTTAAAGCCGCGACTGTGAGACCTTAAGATTATTCCATGCATGCAAAGCTCAGGAATGATCAAGGTACAAAACAACTAATAGAAAACCAATCTTTGTCACGAATGGATTATTTTGAATACCCAAGCCCATAATGGAATAAATTCTACAGTGTCTGGCAAAACAGGCAGTAAATATGCCTACATAATCACCAAGTTATCTCGAAGATTATATTTGGCCTTGAAGCACGCCCCCTGTTGGCCTTGATGTTCTCAAGCACAATGGCATTCTCCATGCGTGATTCAGTATCAGTTTTCTTCCCAACAAAGCCATTCATTTCCACCAACATTTCTTCTACCTTTCTCTAGTTTCCTTTTAACCCGAGAAATGGAAAAAACCTTGACCGGGTTTCAAGTCGCGGTCGCGTTTTCGGTCATTTTGGGTTTATCGTGATTGTCACGGGCGCTATTGGATGCTATTGTGGGTGTAGCGGATAACTCGGATGGCGGCGAAACTGCTATTTCGATAGCATTATCACGTTTTCGGACCGTGATTTGAAACCTTGACCTTGACTACATTAAGTTAATCACACGTCTTAGTTTAGTAGCATTGTCTATGCCAATCCTTTAGTTCAAATTCATAGGTTGTAAAGAAGTGGGGAGTTTTGTTGTATGGCGGGTTAGGATGCGGTTAAAAAATAGCGGAAATAAGTATGATCTAAAATGTGATAAAGAATATAATATTTTGGGTTAGACATAATCTAAAATGTATTTTTTATAATATTTTCGTTGTAATCTAAGATATTATATTCTTCATAATATTTTCGGTTAGCAACAAAAAATGTGACTCTTCGTAACATTTTTTGTTGCAACCTAAAATATTACGAAGAATGTCACATTTTAAGTTACATTCAAATTAAAATGTTATGTTTTTTAATCAAAATTTTTGTTATATCTATATTTACCATTTTCAATCTTAAATTAGATCGCCTTTCTTTAGAATTTTGCAAAACAAGAATGCTTACATCCAAAGAGAACCGGAGACAAGAAAAGAAGGCTACCCAAATCCATCTGCTTGAGGGAGCTGACTCATTAGAGGGCATTCAAACCTTATCACCATGAGTTAGAATTTAGAAGCCACAAAGGCAAGTAACTTAAACCTGCACAACGAACCACAATTCTATAAACTGACCACTACTACTACACAGAAGAGAAGAGTACAAGCTCCTGCAGCTGAGAGAGATGATGAAATCAGCGGCAACTTGCGAATAGGACATCCGAAATCGTAATTCAGAAAGGTTTGGAGCATTTCCAAAGGGAATCGGTCAATACAATAGTGGGAGATGATGTGTTTGAAGCAGTTTAGTATTTCTTCATTGTGCTAAACTTCTTCGGTTCACTTGATTTTTGTGTATAATTAAAGGGGTTTAAAAAACATTTAAATTAAAAAAAATCATGAACTTTTTATGTCAAGAATAATCATAATTACAATACATCATTAGGATACAATTAATAAGATAAATAATAGTAATATTTAACTTCATTCGATGCTCCTTACCTAGCTTTACATCGATTTCTAGTTTGTAAGAAAAGCGACTTCTTTTCTACCTATTCCAATTCCATCTCTCAGAGACATTTTAGAAAAATCCCATGGAAAACATTAATGTTTCATAGCAGTGATTAACCATAGCTAGTTCCCTGAAACCCCAACAACTCCAAATCTCTCTCAGTTTATCCTCTGAATTTGTTCAAAAGCGATGAATTCTGATGAAAGGCCTCAACAAGTAACAGGCGTTGTTATAATAACTCTTCCACCATCAGACAATCCTTCTTATGGCAAAACGATCACAGCTTTTACTCTTTCTAATGATGATGTTTTACCTCAATCCCTCCGAACTCAAAAACCCGACCAGAATTTGCCAACGACCCATGTTGTAACATCGCCTCCACCTTCACCCCAAAACCCTCAACATGGATTCTCATTCTCTAGGCTCTTTTCTGATAACCCAAGGAGACTGTTGGGCTTTCTCGGTATCTCTCTTTTTGCTCTTCTTTTTTGTAGCTCGTCCTTCTCCAACACTTCTGTGGAATTAAGGAATTCCAACGACAGTGATAATGAAAAGCCACGGTCTTTTATCTTTCCTCTGTATCATAAACTGGGAGCTGCTGATACGGAGCTCAAGCTGGGGAGATTTGTGGATGTTGATAACGAGAATTTGGTGGTTTCAATTGATAGTGTTCCTATGGGAACTCGGAAGGTCAACAAATTGGTGGGTGCTACTGCTGCTGTAATCCATCCATCTGCTACTACTATTTTGCCTGTCAGGGGAAATGTTTATCCAGATGGGTATGTGTAAAAATCTTGTTTCTTCTCTTTGCATCATAGACTAGAGAATAGTTGTTGATTATATAGCAATTCAAGATTTTTGCTTGTGGTATGGTGCAAAATGGACTTAGAAAGTTTTTGTTGGATATTACAGGCGACCAGCTTTATGATGTTCCTTTGTTGTGCATTTGAGAGTTATAGAAAGCAATGTAATTGTCTAGCTTATAAATTTAAATTACAGCCTTAGAAGGATGATTCTTCTTTCTGTAACTGTATTGATTAGTCACTGCTTTTGATAAGCATTTTTGATTGATTTCCAACAATAAATAAAAGGATTGCTGCAATAGCCCTCGCTTTAAGTTTCCTGTATAAAAGCTTTACCCTTTGCTTTACCCCTCTATTATGCAACTACAAGGAAGAAGGATATTTATAAATGCTCAAACCAATTGCAGTGTATGTCTGGGAACTTGTATTATGAAGATATCGACATAAGCAATAATTACACATCCTGCTGTCTTCTTAACTAGGGTTTTTATAATTTTACAGATTGTACTTCACATACATGCTTGTTGGGAATCCTCAAAGACCTTATTTTCTTGATATTGATACTGGTAGTGACTTAACATGGATACAATGCATGCTCCTTGCAGCAGTTGTGCCAAGGTAACACATTTCTCACTATATACTAGTCTCTGTCTTGTGCGTATACTGATAGAAGCATTAAGCAATCACTGCCATTCATTCTAGAAGTGTACTGCTAGCTGATGTAATAAATTTCCAGTTTCTCCTTGGATATTTTGTTCAATGGAACTCCTAATATCACTTTGGCCATCGGAATAAGAAATAAACCATGTAGATGATGTAATCCAAACCTTTTTACATATTTCTTGTGATAGGGGTCATGTATACTCTAATGGATACAGTTGATGTAGGGAGCAAACCCTCTATACAAACCAACAAGAGTCAATATCATAACACAAAAGGACTCAATGTGCATGGAGGTCCAAAAGAATCAAAAGCCTCAAAATTGTGAAACCTGCCAACAGTGTGACTACGAGATTGAATATGCTGATCATAGCTCATCCCTGGGGGTTCTTGCAAGAGATCAGCTTCACCTATTGACTGCAAATGGATCAATTACCAACTTAGATGTTGTTTTCGGGTATCCTTTCTCAACAAGCTCCTTCAACATACTGGACTATTTGGTAGTCTCCTGCCAATGTGTGTAAATAACTTTTGTATTTATTCCCAAGGTGTGCATATGATCAGCAAGGAATACTTTTGAACACTCTGTCAAAGACAGATGGAATTCTTGGACTAAACAGGGCTAAAGTTAGTTTGCCTTCTCAATTGACAAGCAAGGGAATTATTAACAATGTGGTCGGCCATTGTCTTGCAACAGATGTCGCTTCCAGTGGATATATGTTCTTAGGTGATGAATTTGTACCAAACTGGGGCATGTCATGGGTCCCTATGCTTGGAAGCCCTTCAATGTGAGCATGAATCTCAGAAAAATTGCATCTTGTTTGTTATTCCTTGAGAAATTTTCTTGTTTTTAGCACATGGGTTTTATATCTAAGTAACTTGTAGAAACTGATCTTTTGATTAATAATTTTTTTTCAGAAATAGTTCACTATAATGTTTTTGACAAGGCCAAAAAGAACAAAGGCCATGGGTTGATACTTCATTAAAGCCTATGTACCCTTGTTGTTCCATCTTCACTATGTTGTAACAAAGGATAGTTTTTGGACATAAATCCTTACTAATGTGATGCTACTTATTATAAATGTCACAATCAGCATCTACACTACTGCTTGACCAGTTTCTTGGTATGCTTTGTGCAGCCACTTGATTTAACAATTTTTGCATCATGTGTTTTTGCTAATCATTGTCCCTCCCTCCTTTTCCATTTATTTTCTTCCCTTAAATCATTTCATTTGTAATATTCTGTCTTTAGCTTCTGCAATTTCCTATCCTGCTGTTTGGTTCTAGTTCAGCTTTGAATTCTTCTGGGTTTTTTTCTTCTCATTTTTCATATCTTCAGAAAATTTTACTGCACGCAACTTGTGAAAATCAATTATGGAAGTAGCTCCCTCAGCTTAGGCGGACAAGACAGGAACATTGGCAGTGTTGTGTTTGACAGTGGGAGTTCTTATACGTACTTCACAAAACAAGCATATGATGAATTGGTCTCTTCTGTATGCATTTCCATCTTTAGCTTGGACTGAAAGATAAACAGCCAATTTTTCAGAAACCATTACCATCTCATTATATGACTTCTTGTTGGTTGCTGCAGCTTAGTGAGGTTTCTGAGTTGGGATTTCTCCAAGATGCATCGGACCCAACACTTCCAATTTGTTGGCGCGCTCCGTTCCCTATCAGGTAGCCTAACTACTGGCTCAGTTAGGTACATTTTCCCTTCCATATTGTCTCAGCCGTGGAGAAGGTTTCCACGTAGCTTGTTGAAATTCCTTTTGTAAGGTTAAGAAATAAGAATTGCACACAGGAGGTTGTGCAGAAAATTATCAGCAATGCTTGCATAAGAAAAGCAGTTTTCAGTTTCTTATTTTTTAGAGATGAAAGGAGAGATGGATTATATCTTTTATATTGTAGCTTTTGATCTTTCAAGCAAAAAAGTTTGCTCTTTCTTGTGCTACTACCACCACAATCATGTCACATGAACTATAGTTTAAGCATGATGATCACCTTTGAAGATGGTTAACTTTATAACTTTCTTCATACATTTCCTCGTAATAGCTCCAGTTACTGCAGATGATTGTTTTTTGTTTTGTTTTGGAGATCAATATTGTAGAAGGATTAGAGAGATCCAAAGCAAAATTCTTGTACAAGCTTTATCAATGAATTATCAGTTATTTCTTTGACATAGTAACACGATTCCTAAAAATTGCAGCTTTGTGGATGCAGATCTGTCATGGATGTTAAAAAGTTCTTCAAGACTTTAACCCTTCAGTTTGGGAGCAAATGGTGGATAATATCCAAGAAGTTCCATATTCCTCCACAAGGGTACTTGATCATTAGTGTAAGGACTTCCCGACCACTATACACTGGTTTCTTTATGTTGTTCCAGCCCTTCATTTCTCTCTGAGGACCTGTGCTTGACAGACATCCAAACATGGTATAAAGATATGGAAAAATCTTCAGTAGGAAAAAAGACAGGGCCCAACCGGGTTCGAACCGGTGACCTCTTGATCTGCAGTCAAATGCTCTACCACTGAGCTATAGACCCTAGTGTTTACTGTTGCATTAAATAACATACTCATTTGCAGTGTTTTTATACCATTAAGAGATATACATAGTCAATGCTTAATATATGAGAAGTTGCAAGACCAAATTTGAATGTAGGTGTCCTGTCCCAATAAACAGTAGGATAAAGTGATGCTACTGAAAAGGATAGACCATTAGCAGTCTCTGTGGAAACTGTGAGGATGTGAGTGAATGGAAGATTAAAAATAGCAAGTTATGTTGTTCCAGCATGACCAGATACAGCTTATTTGTTTGGGGGGGAAATAGAAATTATGAACATACCCAAGTCTGAATAACATAGTTTCTTTTTTCACAATGTACATTGGAAGCCCTTTATGATGTAGTTTCCCGTAATGCAGAATAAAGGTAACGTCTGCATGGGCATCCTGGATGGAAGCAATGTACATGATGGATCCACATTTATACTTGGAGGTAAGAAAGTTGCTTATTCAGCTTATTCTTTTGATTTACAATATCGTTTTGTATGTATGTACGTGTGTTTTCTCCTTGATAGTTATTGAGAGGAACTTGTAAATCTCACTTGGTAAACACATGTTTATGTTTGCTTATCCACATATTCTTCGCTCTTGTTTGAGAAAAATAAACTGTAGTGGTGGACAGGCGTGTTCTTTATATAAATCCAATGAATTGGTTTATAATAATACATTGTATGGTACGTATGTTTTTTGCAGACATATCGCTGAGGGGGCAATTGGTGGTTTATGACAACGAGAAGCAGAGGATAGGGTGGACTGAATCAGATTGTGGGAGGCCAAGAAGATTGAAGACTCTCCCCTTCTTTGAAGGATAGTGACCTTATATTATAAGACACTATTATAATTTTAAGTAAATGAGAATGTATGTATATCCAGAACATATTAGGCGGTCTGGAACTGATGTTAAAAAAATGATTGAATTATATATTAATTCACAAAGTGTTATTAGAGGACTACATCTCTCTTTTATCGTATAAAGTTGAAACAAAATGCATATTTATTCACTACAAAATACCTTGGTTAAATTTGATTGGATATGATGGGACTTGCCATTTTGGTTGATGCGCGGAACATTTCTTCCCCCAAAATGTATTAGGGTTAGTTTAATTTTTTCTCTTTTTCTTTGACCGTCGTTAGTTTTTTTTCCCTTCATCTTTGTGATCGTGATAATACTAATCTTGTTGTTAGTCGTCGGCCGTTGTTATTTATTATTTTTATTTTATTTTATTATAGTGTATGTTTGCTTTTTTCTTTTTTAAATTTTTAATAATTTTGTTTTTACGATACGTTTTCATCTGTCCTTATGACACGTTTTCGATCGCTTGACCGTCATTTTCATTTATCATTTTTCTCAAGGTTAGATTTGACATCGTCATGACTTATCAAAATGACGCTTATTTGTTATCATGTTGATATTTCTTACTTTAGACCTTCTAATTAGATTTGGATACGTGATTTGCATTCGTTGATAATTTTTTTACGTCGCTCGACTCTGATTACAGTTTTTCGGTATCTTTCAATAGTTTTATCTCTTTTTGTGATTCGTTTGTCAATACAATCAAATATGTTCATATCTACATTTTATTCCAATTTATTTAAGTGGCTAACTTTCTTGTGTTGATTACTATAAGAAAGTATCATTATAATGTATTTAGTTTACAGTTGTTTTTAATAAAACTAGTATAAATCAATAGTTAAAATTATATTTTAAAAAAACAAGGAGATGATGTGGATCCATATTTATACTATTTTTTATAAGAAATATTTTTTTATAAGGTAATTACAAAATATTTTCATATTTAAACATAAAAATATCATTATTTTGTAATTACCTTAATAAAAAAATTTAATAAAACTAGTTGCCTCTATTAAAAAATTACCTTAATATTGAAAAATTACTGAGTTTCACATTGATTTACAGTAAAAATCAGTAGTTAAAACTATATTTAAAAAAATCTACCCATTTTCACTCGGGCTTTAAATCGAGATAATGAACCAAAATTTAACTCCAAACTTCCACCATCTCATAAAAGTAACTATGCAAGTCGACTTGTTAAACTATGAGGTTTGAATAATAGCCCAATTAGCTTTAATTTTCCATCATCTTCGAATTTACTTCAAGGTTAATGTTTACGACGACAACATTACAATAGATTGTCCTGCTTTAGATTTTTGTAAATGGTGAACCTGCTCTTTGTGGATTCAATTTCTATGAGGTCAAATTCGCAACTGAAGCGAAATTTAACCTTCGAATATACTTTATTTTTTTTCTTTTTATACTTGTTAGATGTGGATATTTCAACAAATAATTTAATTCAGACTCGAAATGGATTCGGATTGCGAGTTCGGATTCAGATTTTACATAAATTATCATTGCCCTCGATAGATATAGCTGTTCAGTTTAATTGTTTGTTTTTTTTTCCAAGCCAGAATGTAATACTAATAGTACCTCATCAAGAATTTCTTGAATTTGACGGGCAAGTCAAAATATAAGTCTAAACAAATTTCTTAACACTGAACAAGACCAAGTTTGTGCAAAGGAACACTGCAGCAGAGGAAGCAACAACAACAACAAAAAAAGACTAGAAATAGATTTCTTAAAGCTAGGACATCATGACCTGATTGCTTGACTCTAGGGCTTGAGTGGCGAAAAACCTCACATCCACGTCAGGATCCTCACTCAATTCAACCAAGCATGGACGGATTGTCTTCTCCACCACCTGTATCATTACTGCTCATCAAAACCAATTTTACTGAATACTAATAATTCCAAAATCCAAAAAAAAAAATCAATAACAATGAATACAAGGTTTATCTGTCTGTTTTTTCCCTTTTACATTTTGCATATAACATTTCTCTCACCCTTTTTTTAGGTAGGCATTTGTTAAATATATGAGAATCTGGCCTAATATCACGGTTAAGGTGCCGCCAAACATATACCATTTTCAAGAACCAGAAGAAATTACACTAAGCACTCAACTTGTATAAGGGAGGGGAGATGATATAAGTAAATCTACCACGTGACAGAGTAAGATAAAATTACTCACAGATTGATCAACAATTGGAATTAGTGACTGCAGCACCTTGGCCACGTTAAACTTGATGTTGGGTACCCTGCGTCATGCAATTTTTAGCTTCATAATCATAATCCAAGTCAAATGAACAAACAAATAAGCTTCAAAATCAAACTCCATGTGCACAAACATTACCTATCTTTAGAAGCATTAATAACCACAGGGAGAAGTTTCGAACAAGTGATGTCTGAGCCCATAACAGGGGCAAGTAGAGAAATTGCATGTAGAATGGTCATCCGATACAGATAATGAGGATTGTTATTATGTCCAAAACCTGTTGATAGAATTACAAAAGATACATACTGAGAACCAAAATCTTTAGATGTCTACTTTTTTCTTCGTTTAGAATTACAAAAACACATAGTACTGTTAAGCACAATAACCTGTGGAACTATATGTTGCATTGCCCAATCTGGTCCGAATTCTTCAGCCAGGCGTTTCACATTATTAGCAGCAGCATCACGAATGGAATAAACCTACAATGAATATCAACAAAGTTGGCATTATTTTGTACTATCACAACATTACGTCCTAGTATCACCCTCTTAAAGATAGACTGGAAATCTGTAACCAAAAACCTAAAGCAAACAAAAAATGGCTTTTTTCTCCCACTAGAAACCAATGATTTAAATATAAAATTAGTAAGACCATCGTCCAACTGTCAAATCTTAAATATGCAGGAAGCAATTAAATACCGACATTGACAGATATTTAATTATGACAACATTAAACTAGGATAGAATCATAAAGAAAGATGCATGACGCCATTGATTTTTGCTCCCAAACAAAGTTCTTTGCACCTTATCTTTCAACCATTGCATGCAGAGGGCACCAAGTTTGTCATCAAAAAAGCCAACACCCAACTGACTTGCCAATAAGGGGATGTATTCTATTATCGCAAGCCGAACCCTCCAGTGCCTATCCTCTGCAAGCTCCACGATTGCTGGTAATAGGGACTGGGACAGCAGATCAATTCCAATCACCTGCGATGACAGCTATATTAAGCTAATATGCATATGAATATAAGAGAGAGAGATTCACTAACACGAGCATAGCGAAAGTGGTAGGGCACGGTGAGGTTTCAGTAGTGATCCAAGGTTCCACAAACCTCAGTGCTCTTGTTTGAACCAAAAAGTTCATTTATAACACATCATTAAAACAAAATCCCAGAGATTCATGTTAGTCAGGAAGGAAACTACCGTAACATGTCACCAACAGAAACCTAACATCTTTATTTAAGGGATTGACCAAGCATGGAAGAATTTGAACCACTAATTTTTTTATTGACAAATTGACACGTATGCAACCAGAAAGATAAAACATGAGGTAATGACCCTACTTAGTCACTCAATCTAAAAGACTAGTTTACTCTGAAACATTTTAAAATATTATAAGTGACTGAAATTTCGACAGTCTGAATCCCTCGCAATAAAAAGGTTCAGCCTACAGCTTTCAGAAGCCTTATGGTTTGGAAAGTAATTTCATGGTTATTTTGGCTAGATCGAGGGTCACTGTTTTCACTTTAACTTAGTTGGAAAAAGCTTTGGCAGTTAGTCCAGTCACAGGCATAAGGCTTCCTTCCCCCTCCCAGACAAACATAGAAAAATACAAGTCCACAAATCAGTTTCCGAGATTGTTTGATAATATAAAAAAAAACTGTTGAGCAGTATCACCAAAAGATGGGGAAAACTGTAAATAGAAGATAGTAAAGAAAATGTTGATATTGTTCTTGATAATCGATAAATTACATCTTAAAAAAATAACCACCTGGTTGACTTGATCTAGCTTGCTAATAATATTCAATCGGACATCTGGAAATTCATCTTTCAAAAGAGAAAGAAATATTGGAAGCAATTGCTCAATGGTCGCATCCTACAACCATCAAAGAAGATTATGTTATACTCCAAAAAACAAGGTATGCAACATGCATAGAATGAATGCAATAGAATAGAATAGAATATAACAGTAAGAAACAATGTTTTATGGAATCAACATAAGATCCAACAATACAGAATGACTACCTTCCCTAAAACAGGTGCCATTCCCATTATAACTGAGGCCAAAGCAGATCGAACATGCTGGGATGAATCTGTTGATAGTTCCTACAATAGGAAACATTAAATAATTTAGACAGTAAATAGCTAGAATGTGTAAAACTAGATGACAGCTACAGACAAAGAAAAAACTTGGATTACAAAGGCAAAGAATTCTAAGAGCATTTTTTACCTTGACACACGGAAGAATGTGCTGAATTGATAGTTCTGGATTCAGAATTCGGCAAAACTTGGTTACTTTACCAGCAGCAGCGATCCGTACTTCAGCTTCATTATCACGAAGTAAGCGCACATATGCAGGTACTAGGTCAGACCTAAAAACATGTAAACCTCACAACATCATTTGATGATTAATAATAAACCCGTCACTAAGATTATGTCCATCCGAAGTAAATGCTAACAATAATCACTTCCGAATGACCAAAGCATGATAATTGAAAGATAACCCAAGACAATAGCATCAAATTCCAAATTAAATAGAAAGGAAACAAACAATTCATCAGTAGAGATCGAGGGAACACGAAGAAGGAAAAATGAATTTCTAAATTAGGGATAACTACATCAGTCGGAAAGAACAGAATATAATGATTATTGTCACATGATTGAAGAGATTACCTGGTAGGCTCAGGTCCAACAGCTTCACACAACTCATATAATTGATTGGCGACCATGTAACGGACACGCCAAGACTTGTCCTAGAACCCCAAGTAATA